TACTGGAAAAGTTCTGACTCGAGTGATGTTGGCTGCCCAGGGAGACTTTAAGTGGACTCTGCATTTCCCAGACTTCACAATCCCAGCTGAACCAACCTGGCACTGCAGGTTTCGTTAAAAGGTTGTGATACGGGACCAGCCTCAGCAGGGCAATGGCAGCGTATCGAGGGTCAAATGGAGAAGTTGCTCCCCTAGCGCGTGAGCTGAATCCCTTCCCCGTGTGCATGCGCTCGCTCGCGCGCGCGCACACACACACACGTGTTCCAGCAGGTCTTATTCCCCGAACACAGAAAAGCCGTCTGTAGACATGTGCTGAGGAGCATCTGAGTCCCTTCTCTTTCGGAAGAGATTCGAGTGGTGTCCACAGACAGAGCCCTTTCAGTTGTGATGCTAAAATGCTTGTAACTACTATTAAAAAAAGCCCTTTGCAAGCTGCGGTCGGAATCCCTTGGAGGGTGAAGCACAGGATGGTAACTCTTTTAAAGAGACAACAAATCTCTGCAGACTTCTATTTTTGCATGAGACAATGAAATGCACATATAGAAGTTCATGTGCTCTTAACTGTTGTTTGAAGGAGCAATGCTGAAGAATCAACAAGATGGAAATAAATGGAGCAGTAAAATGGAGATAGAAAGGCACAAAAACAAACAAGTTATCCCTTTTGGGTACAACCCAAAATCATGCAGCCATGTTCAGGGCATGCTGTATACTGTGAAATGGAAATAGATAACATCTGGCTCCACACCAGCTGCTACATTTAATGTTACAGGTTTTTTTACCTGGTGGTGTGTATTAAAAGGGATTTATCAGGAACAGGAAGAAAAGGTGGCAAGTCCCTATAAAGTGAACATTTGTAAGCCTATGTACTAAGAAATTTGTTCTTCAGATTAAGCTAACGGCAGATTGGCCTTTTATGCCATTCAGTGACCGCCATCTTTCTATTCCAGAAATCTGTCCCTTTGGCAGTTATCCTCCCCTAAACTTTAGGCATCAGACTAGCTCTCACTGAAAGGCCAAGCCAGTGGCCAGCAAGTACAATTTAAGATAATATGGAGGAGGAGGACTTCATAAAAAGCAGACAAGCAAGCAAAAGCTCCTCCGTACAGAGAATGAGCATGTCTACCCTCACCTTCTCTCTGGCGTGCCGTTTTTTCAAGAGCAGGAAATTGATTTTTATGGAGGAGCAGAAGCCCATGATTTCCTACTTGCCATCTGAAGTGGTAGAGATCCATCACAGGTTCACCAAGAAGTGAAAACTAGACAAAGATTGCCACCTCTTGTTTACAGAAATTATGGCACCTTGGGCTGAGTGTGCATGGAAAGACATTTTTCAAAGACAGCCTGAAGGAAACCGCTTGTGCGTATTCACAGCTCCTTTCTGTCTGGAAGGGAATCTGTCCACCCCTATTCAGAGATGTTGACCTCTTCTGTGGCGTTTACCTGTGCTTGGCATGCACAAGCCAGGTCTGCCGGTCAGTGTAATGGCGGCTCTACAGACAGTGAGCTGCTTAGGATAACGCGCCAGTCCACTGTGGGTTAATTAACCCTCGAGGCCCCACAGCATGGGCTGCACACCTTTAGGGACCCTTGGTCTTTTTTAGAGTTATGCCAGGGCTGTTTAACCTCACATATCCCTCATCAGCCAGGGTTTGCATATTCATCATGTGCCACAGTTGTTCACAGGTGAATAGTTATGCAAACTGGCCCAATGTATTTTTTGCAAGGTTGCCTGGAGTGAAATTGTAGGTAGCTTCTTAGGCGAGGGAGACAGGCTTGGATTCTGCTCTGGGCTGGCTGGTTTGATTGTGGAATTGGTGGGAGATAATCAAATACACACTGCCCTCACCAAGCGAGCCCTGCAAAATGGCACCCCCACCTCCATGATCCTCTAATTAAGAGGTGGAGTTCCACGGAGGAGCAGAGGGAGCTTACAGGCACACAGAACATCAACCTGTGCATGCCTAATAAAAGAGGAGAAAACAACCGATGCTCCTTGGAGAAACTATCAGGAGACGAACAAATACTCAAAGAACATTAACTTTAACCCGCTGTCACAAATTGCAGAAGCAAATCACGGCAATTGACTTAGCAACGCAGAGACGACTACCTAAAGGAAGGGAAATTAAGGTGATGTAAATGAAGAACATTACACTTATTTTAAAAAAACACAACATGCAATCATTTGCTCAGGGAGTGCCACATTTCTAATTAAAGCCAGACGCTGAAATTTGAATGCAGCTTGACAGAGAATTGAAATGTATTCAAAAATAAAACAGCTTCCTATTTAATTTGAAGAGCTGCCTCAGAACACTCCAAAGTTTCTTTTGATGCCAAGATCTGTTTTGTCTGAAATTCTGAGAATTAAACAAAGACACTGGCAAATACAAAGCTGCTGCAGAGCAAGCAAAACAACCAAAGCTTACCATGTACACATGGAAATCTACTGTGAAGGAAAGCAGGAAAACATGGATGTTCCCAGTAGAGGCATGTGAAGAAAGCTGAGGAGGATGCCAATGCTTTGGCAAAGAAAAGCCGCACAGAGCTGGGCTCGTCTGCTCTGCGCATCAAGACTTCTTCGTCCACAGAAGAAAGCACATGGAGCAGATATTTTTAAGCAGTCAAGGAGAAAGGACAGGTGAGACACAAAAGGTGGTAAGAGTACGGAAACACCTGAAGCACATGTGCAGAATATTTTATTGAGCATCCCTCCCACTACAAGAGGACAGACTTACCAAAACAGGATTAATAGTTTACCAATTGTTGTCCTTCAAGCACGGATAATGTCCACAAATGATCTAATTTGTATTGGCTACTTTATCTGAAACGCCACCTGAATCGTTGCTGACCTTCAGTGAACTACAGACCATGATTTTGGAATTTGGGGCCACTGGAGCCCTATTATGGAGACAGCTTAGTCGAGCAATACACCGTTACTTCTTTCCGTGGTTAACTGGACCAAGAAAGCACCTCTGAAATAGACATTTCTCGCTTGCGAATGGCTCTCCTTTGCTGACCAGCTCAGTTGCTGTATTATAAGCTCACACACAGACTTGAATGTTCCCTCATCACAAGTAAAGTGAGAAAAATGGAAAAGCAGAAGCTTATTCAACACCACGGCCAAGGTGGAGCCTTGAGAATCTTTCATTATGAGGCTAAGGGAAGCAAAAGCATTTAGCATGTACGCAATTTTTATTCATTCCTGGTAAGTGTCCAAGGTTCTCCCTACAAAGGAAAACAATGGGTTTGTTCACAGGACCAACCCCGCCCCCCCCGCTCTTTGAAGCCACGGAGGGCTGAACAGCATGCAGACTGCCATTTTCAACATTCCAGATGTGGCTGCAGCTTGTTGTGACACCTGAACTCAGCAAAAGTAGGCCGTACACAGGTAAAACAATCCTCACAGAGCCCACAGCCCAATTTTACGATTACGGGCAGATTTGGGCAACATCTAACTCCCCTGGGAATTTACCCTGCGCACTGCAGGTGAATTCCTGGAGGCCTGACTGGCAGGCACTGTGGGGGCTGTGCCCCCCCTCCGCCCACTCTTTCCTCCCAGGGGACACGGCAGGAGCACCAAGGAGAACTGGAAAGTTCCCACTTCCATACTCGGCACACCTGCCAAGGTCTGGGGAGCACGAACGATGGGCAGGGGAGCCGGAGGGTGGCGGAAGGGCAGCCAACGCAAGGTCCCCCACTGCTCAGCTGTGCTGCACCTGTGGGGAGGCTGTAAGCACCCCTGCCCACTGCTCGGCCTTGGCCTGTCACAGCTGGGGAGCAGGCAAGGGGCATGGTCAGCCATGTCTCCCTGGGAGGAGGCTCATCTGATGGCGTGGACTTGGGTGGACGGGGCTGGGAATTGTTCCTGCTCTGCCATCACCACTGGCCGCCCTGTTATCGCTCGAGCAGTCAGCATGGCGTAGCAGTCAGAGTGCTGGACGGAGACGAGGAAGCGTCACCTCCAAACCCCGTGAAGGTCGCCTTGGGTACCCACCACCCCTCAGCCCGACCTACCCACACAGCTGTTGCGAGGATAAAACGGGGAAAGGGACCTGTCCTCCTTGGTGGAAGGGCAGGGCAAAATGGGATAAAGCAAACGACAAAGGCATACCATTTAAAAAGAGCACTCCTCCACACGAAGAAAAATCTACTGCCACTTCCCAAAGAACTGATGAGTAATGAAAAGTTTGAGCTAGTAGCTTAGGAGGAAATAATGCCTTTGTGTATGCGGCAGGTACCGTAATTAATTAATGCACAAAGGCAGACGAGTATCATCTGTAATACCTAAGTCGAGAATGAGAGAAGACTCGAATGGAGAGAGAAGCCTCACCTAACACCTTCTTGACATTTTGGACTGCAGGCGGGCCTCTGCTATGCTGAGGAAGATGGTGGAATGGGAAACCGTGTGTACAAAGCTCCCTTCAGCGGTGGTGGGAAACGCAAGATTTCCTTTTCAAGGGATGCCAGGATCCTCCGGGTTTCATTTAAAGCCATGGGCAGAGCCCTGCTCCCAGCTCCTTTTTACTAGAGCTGCAGTCCAAGTTAAAAAGTGGAAATTTCAAAAAAGAATCATATACATTTTAGTATCAGTTCAGTTTGCATGTGGGTACATTACTGATGCCAGAAATGCACTCTCCTTGTTAACATACACCTGAGTTACAGTAGGCACCCTGTCCGAAAAGGTATTTCCATCTACCTAACAAAAAAGGGGGAGTGCCTCTTTCCATGTTTGCCATCTAGAGTTGTAATCAATTCTTATATCAAAAATGCATTTTAAAAATCTTCTGCCCAATTAAGTTGGGATCGCCTTTAGGATCAGCTATTTTTAATTGTTTCGTCAAACCAGCTCAGCCGGATCTGCTAAACACGGCAGACCTATCTGAAAGTGTGTGATTCTTCCAAGCTGTGGCAATGAAATATTGTGGCCTTTACGCAGATTCCGACCCAGACCCCCCCCCCCCGAAAAGCCCTCATTTTTTGCACAACAAATTAACAATATGGCACACTCGGAATCACAGTTTATTGCCCCATTCTCTCCACTTGTACAACTAAGTGTATGCATGGTCATTAAAAAACAGGGCTACCATAGCCTGTCCCCAAAATATATTACAACATTCAAAATGCTTGATTTCGACAAGTGACACCGATGGGGAGGGAGCCGATATGGAAAACAAATTGGACCGTGTGTGAGCAGGCGGTGCCTGCCGGGCGCCTCCAGTTCGACCATTGCCACTTAACTCAGATCAGAAGAGGCAGGAAGTCATTAATAAGTGAAAGTTGGGTGGTCTGTGGGGGAGGGGGTAATTAAGGGTGTCAGATATGCTCTCGAACAGCACATATCTGAATCACAGATGGCGCCCATACTTGGCTGGCAGGCAAGAGAGGTGGCTGAGATCAGCTGCTTGTGAGGACGTGGGGACGGAGCTGCTCTGCATGGCTCTGGAAGCGGTCCTTCTACATGAGCACAGAGGAATTACCGGTTATTAGACAGGTCGCTCTGGTTGGTTGCAGAGATGCTTCGATCTTTGGAACAGGAAACTTGCCTGAACACATAATTCCTTTCAAAAACAAACGCAAGAACAAGAAGGGCCAAACAAATTTTACTCGAGGGCTTCAACTTAGAAAGACACGTGGTCAAGGTGTTCCAGCCGCGACGAGAGGGGTTTGTCCTCGGGTGGGAATGACGGAAAGAGGCCAGGAGTGGCCATCCAGAGCGGGGCTCCGAAGCGCAGCCCTTGGCCAAACCCTGCACAAGGGCAAGCCCGCCACCATGCCTGTCGCCAGAGGGATGTCCTGCTTCCACATGTGGCGCAATGAACGCTCACCATTCCTTTTTCAGCATCGGCGTTTATTTAAAAGAATCCATTTCTCCCCCACCCTGCCCCCTCCTAGAAGTTAGACAAGCGATGGAGTCAGCAGCAGCAAAGTCTGGGGAGGTAATACCGATGGTACTGAATTCACGGGTGCTTCTCGGGAGTTCCCAGATGTCCTGCGTGTGTCCAGAAATGAAAAGAGCCCCCCATGTGTGACCACTCTGAGAAGGAAGGGCCAGCGAGCTTCAGTTCGGTGCCCCACTGAGAATCCCAGATGAAAGCAGGGTCAAGTATGCAAAGCCTTGAGGGAAGGAGCACCTCTCATACCAGCTCTAGCACCTGGCAAAAGAAAGGAAGGAGCCGTTACTGTCAGGGAGGGCTGCACTTTGTCTCCTGGACGAACACGTGCTTTAGGATGGAACCGCGTGAGGCAGCTGCAGCTGCACATGCTCACGTGGCTGCAGGTATGAGCCAGGAGAGGTGCCAAACCGAATTGAAAGGACCCGCGGGAGACGAGTGAGCAGAGCTGGCCCCCACCCCACTCTCCCCAATTCTTCACCCAAGGGGCTCTTTCCCTCGCCCAGTTCCTATTAATCACAAGGGAGCCGGGGGGAAAGCCTGGAAGCAACGGAGGAAGAGGAGGGAAAGGGCAAGTAAAGTAGGGGGACGGCTGCCGCTACACCATTCCTATGACTTATATGCTGCTTTATGGGGAAACAGAAGAGAAAAACTGGTTTCCGCCCCATTTTGTTTGGCCCTCCAGCCTTTGGATACTTTCCTTCTCAAGTCCTCTGGTGTAATGCAGCCCTTAAGATATAAAGTGAGTTTTCTGAGCCCAAGTCAAATTCTTGGTCCTGCCCTTTAAAGGCACAATGTCTAGAAAGAACGTCTTCTTCCACATGCAGTTGGCCGGATCTTTAGATCATCTCTGAAGCCCCTCCTTTGACTGCCCTTGCCAGAGGAACTTGAGCAGGTGCCCACAAACGAGTGGGCCTCCTCACTGCAGTCCCCACACAAGGAAACTTGACTGCCACCTCACTGTCATCTTTTGGGGCCAGGCAGGGCTATTTAATTTCTCCCAGATGCTTCAAATGCCTGGCATTAAGATTTTGTGTTTTTGGGTCCTTATATTTATGCATTCATGTGTTTGCCATTTTGAAGTATTTTGATTGCAATCTCCCCAGAGAAGGTTTGTTATTCAGTGGAGTGGAGGTATAAAAATAAACCAGAAAGGCATATGGTGGACTGCAATAGTACAGCCTCACAGTAAAAAGAGTGGCGTGGTGGCGAGAGCGCTTGGCTGGGGACTTGGGAGATCCGGTCTCTAAAACCCAGTACTCAGCCGTGGCGGAACATGGGTGACTTCGGGCCAGCCAACTACTCTTAGCCTAGCCTACTTCACAGGGTTGTGAGGATAAAACGGAGCCATGGAAGCTGCCTGGGGCTCCTCACAAGAGGAAAGAAGGTGGGATATGTAACAATAATAATGGTAGCAGGGGATAAGCTGACAGTTAATTTCCTCCCTTCGTAACTACAGTGACTTCAGGCTTAATTTAGCAACTTTAATCAGCAAAGTTAAAGCTAGATAGCCACCCACTCCAACACAAATTTGGAGAGCAAAATTGTGGCTGAGGCTTGAGGATTTAAAGACAAGCAATCCAGAACACCAGGCCCTTTGCAAACAAGAGTGGTTCGAGTGGCGCTGAAGGGCACGGAGGTGGGAGCACTGGAAACTGTGGGTGGGGAGCCATTGTTGGCCTCAGCGCACGGGCGCCAGCTGCGGGCAGCCCCACTTTCAAAAGTGGGCACCTCGGGCCTGAGCAGGTTGCCCACCCCAGCTGCGAGCTTCTGTGTTAGCCTCCACTGGCGTCACTGGAGACTTTAAAAGCTGAAATGCTGCATGGATGGGGGAGCAGAGAAGCTGGTGAGCCACCAGAGAGAAGGCACAGGACATGCCAAGCCAGGCTGCCCCCTCCCATGGCCTGTGTTAGGCCCAGGGGCCAGAGCTGCCACCCCTCTGGCTTAACCAATCCTGTTCAAGCTCTTCTCCTAAGCAGGTCTTGGCTGGACTGCAGCTGAAGTGCTGCCCTTGGACAAAAAGACAGATGACCAGCATGTCAGTATTCTTGTTCTTAGCTCCATTTCCCTCTAGCTTTATAATTTATCCAGCTAACACCTGGAACCTACTTCTGGTTGTTCTTCAGGTCACACATAGGGAAAAGAAGATAGGAATAACTGGTTAGATGCTGTTGAACTGAAACGCAATACTGGGCTGGATGCAACATGCACAGAATCAGACAGCTGGAATCTGTTTATCCAAACAACAGGAACGAGCCAATATCCTTGAAGATCAATCCGTGTCATCTGGGTTGCCAGAGAGACACCATAACTGAGATGAATGTAGGACAAGGGTTTGGCCCTTTGAGTTTTGTTCCAAACAGAAATAGCATGGGAGGGAGCGTTGGGGGAGAAAAAGGGAAGAGGAAAGGTCTGAGAAGCCTGGAAAGGGTACAAGGGAAGACAGAGGTTCAAGCTGCTGCTGAGCGGGAAGTCACAAGAGAGCTGAGCGGGAAGGTGCATTTAGGTAACCTCACACTGGCCCACTTCTGTATCCAAGGGAAGAGGCTGGACAAAGCTCCGAGCTGTGTCCGGACAGCATCCTGCACGTGCCACTTGCACAAAGACTACCTCGGGGGAAACCGAGCAGTCTTCCCTGTTCCAAGTGCACACTGCTCTGCCTGCAGCTCAGCTGCACTCCATCCAACCCCTTGACGGCTGGAGGTCTTCTTCCTGGCTAGACAGCTCCCACCATTCTTATTTCCCTAAGCTGCAGCAGATGCAAAGAAGTCATTTAAAATATGCAGCTGCAGGAAGGAGCAACCCTTGGAATGAGCTCTGCCAATTTTCTCTGACCCTGTGCTACCAAGCACCACTTCTTTAATACCAAACACTGTAGACTAACTTACCTTAATGGTACCTTGACTGTTAGCAGCAATCAGCACATTGGACTCCTGAAGAAGAAGAGGAAGAAGAAGAGGAGCTAGAAGGACCATGTTGCAAGCAACAAAATGGGTACAATAGGCAGTGTTTAGTTTAATAATTAAACTTGTTTGATTCTGGAATTGCAAATTTAAAGAGAAGCCCATAGCTTCTGAAAAGGCTGCACCTGAATCCTTTGGGAACAGCAAGAATTAGAGCCATTGTATAATTTACATCAAAGTAAATGATAAACATGAAGTCACCTCCAGATCTGTGTGTGTGGGAGCTAAGTAAGAAATATTAACAGTTTGTTTTGCACAAAAGGTTTCAGATGCTTCAACTAACTGCAGCAACTGTCCACTTGGAACAAACATAAAGAACTTCTTTCAGAAATTATTACAACAGCAGAACACAAAATAGCAAAGAAATGCATCTGATCATAATGTTGATATGATTCCTTTACCCTCTTGCCAAAACACCATCAGTTTAGGCTCACTTCTAATATTCTTCACAGCTTTTCAGATATTCTCCTGGTTATTCACTGGCTGTGTTTGTACATAAAACTAAACTATGGTGCTCCCTCTTCTTCTCTGGCCTGATTCTGAGCAGCATGAAAGCTTTTGCTCCCCTTCTGGACTAACCGAAATTCATCATGGTATGAACAAATGGACCATACCTTAAACTTCAGTATGGTTAGTGGAAGCAAGCCTACTTCAAATTCTAGTTTATGAAGCTGGCGTAATTTCACTAACCGTAACAAATCAGTTTAGGGTTTATAGTATGCTTATTTTTTTAAAAAAAATCTGAACTCCTCATGGCCACAAACAGGAGAAGGGACAAAAGGAACACGTGAGCCCAGACTTGTTCCAATTTGTTATAAGAGACTCACAACAAGCTGGGTATGCAATCTGTGATCCGTACTTGGTTGACATCATCTTGACACCCTAGCTAAAGAATCCATTTTGTTCTGAAAGGGCTGCAGAATCAGGAATAAGAGATGAGCTCCTGGTGGCTGCAAAAGAGTCAACATCCAATTGCCTATGCAATTCTGCCACTGATTAAATTAGGAGTTGCTCCCATTGACAAGCAGCTATGTTCTGATGCCCACTTGACTCCCAAGTCACCTAGCTAATCTAGAGGCTTGACAGGAAATCCAGACCGAATGCTTGAAGCGTTCCCAACTCCCACGAGAGATCCACTGGCTACAGTGCCACCTGAGTGTCCCTTCTAATAATGCTTGCTTTGCATCTCTCTCTTCCACGTTTGTCCACAGCATGGCTTGCAACAGTCCAGTTAGCTAACTCCCCTCCACTGGTGGTCGGCCGCCCAGCCTCGCTGTCCCATGCTAGCTGGACATGTTGAAAGAGGGAGTGCTTAAGGAACGCTGCAAGGAGCTTAAGAAGGATCCCTTTTAAAAGGCAGCTTTAAAAGGTGGCGTTGTCAAATAAAGGACACCAAGTCAATTCCTCGAAGCCGTGCTGAGAAGCTGGGCTACACAGCAAGGCCAGAGCTAATTCTGGGGGACTGGTGGGCCACCGGCTGCCCCGACCCTAGCAGTGTGTGAGGAATCCATTTCAGGGGTGGGACTATCGCGGGCTCCCTCGGCTTGGCTCCTGGGAAGCCAGTCTACTTTTGCTGTGGCCCCGTGTTTGCAGTGCGCTCGTCAGGGATTTAGCCTCACGTGCTGCGCCAGCAGAGTCCCTCTTCCGTACCATGTGACGGGAGGAGGCTGCCCGTAGCACAGCGTTCCTTCTGTGAGGGCTCATTGCCTTCCTCTCAGGCTGAGCTTGCTTTCCAGGACTGGGCCAAGCCCGAGAGGAAGTGTGTGAGCACAACAGGGACGGGTCCTCCAGTGTTTCCGCCCAACCCTGCTCGATCCTGCCTTCTGATTCCACGGTAGCGATCCCGAAGAACAGGGAGCGTCTTCTGTCAATGCTCAGAGAATCTCTGACTCTCTATCCCACCCTGTGTCTCAATCACATTCTTTCCTCCACCTAAAATACTGCAAAACCCCAGATCAAACCTGTTATTTCTGTCTAAGACTGTGCTGACCACATTATCCACAGTGGCCATTTCTGGTCTTTTTCATTTGACTGGCTCTCAGTTTTGCCTTCTATTCAACTAAAAAACTTTTGGTACTTACTCCAGCGCTTTCAAACCCCCGGACTCTCCTCACCTTCCTTTAATATTCTAGCAGTGCTTCACTAAGTCGATCTGCTTGTGGGCAACTCCTTTGGCTGCCCCACCCAACACACCCACTTGCTCCACCTTCTTTTCCCCTACACCTGGAGCACTCTGTTGGACACACCTTCTGGTCTTCCCTTATTCTCCCCTCCCTGCCCACAGGAGCGCCCCCGTCCCACCTCTCCCAGGTAGCCTTCCTGAACTAGGAGGGCAGCCAGAGCTGTTTCCCCTGCCCTAGCTGCAAGGGTGGGGGGCGCACAGGGAACTCCGATTCCCTGCTCTGAGGGTGGAGCACTGCCTCTGGGCCCTCAGATACTGCCTAGAAACCACAAACTACTCCCTTAATGTACCATTTTTAAAAATCAAATGGGTCTACAAAAGTTAATAGCCAATCTCCTATATATATATATATATCTCCAAGCTAGCATAAACAGATAGGAAGACTTCTATAAAACATCCCTGCCTAACTAACTGGAAACATTCGAACTCACAAAAGCAACCAGGCAAGCAGCTAGTTCCAAACCTGAAACGTTCTGAGAAGCTGCAAGAGATGGAGGACTGACCAAAGACCTTCCTTTTCCCTGGACGTCTAACGAAGACAAGGTGCTTTTATGCAGTAATATCTCTCTCTCACACAGGTTCGGATTCCTCCCAATACCCCACTCACAGGGAGAGCTGTTTTCTGACATTCCATTTCTTGTTTTAGTCTGCAGGCAAACTCAATTCACAGCCTACAAAATTTTCGAATTGTAGCTCAGAGTTGCCCATACCAGGAAGATGAATGTCACAAGTTATGCAATTTGGAACGAGATATTGATTTAGGGGCCATATTGATGTTCCAGGTACCAACTCATTAGCCTACCGTGCAATGATTTAATAATATTTAGCTTTTTTAATCTATTACCAGCATTTCTACCAATCCTTTTTGTACACTACACTTTCTATATAGCACAGCTGAGGTGCCTGACAGCAGAATCCAATTCATGTTTCCTCCGAGTTCAGTGGGACTTTGTCTCACTAAGGACATATGACTGCAGCCTTGGAAACAATGAAGCAATAAACAAACAGTAATAAAAATACTAAACTCATAGTTTTGAGAAAATAGTGAAAAAGCAGTTAACAATAAAAGCTCACTAAGAAAGCAGAATCCTGGAAGATCTGCTGGAAGACTGTAATTTCAGTTTATCTAAAAGCAAACAGCGATGGAGCCAGGCACACTTTTCTAACATTCTGGCCCACCAAACATCTGGCAGCGAGGAGACAGAAAATTTCTTCTGTAAAAGGGCTAAAAACTGCTTGCTAAGAAACACATATATGAAAAAAGTAATCTATGGGCCTCATTTGGATATAATGCTGCAACCGCAGTTTAGTGTTATGTGCTCCTCAGGGCCTGGCGCTCATGCCCAGTGGGAGGTCACTTATTTCAGAACTCAGATGAGCTATGGTTAATCTTAACTATGATTTAGGGAAACAAGCCAACCTCAAACTGTAGTTGATGAACCTGACTAAGCAATGGCTGGGGCATGTGCAGCCCCCTCCAGAGGCTGGATTTTATCTCCCATCATAGCTCATCATTGTCTATGCTGGCTAGGGCTGATGGGAACTGGAGTACAACCACATCTAGAGGGCTACATAGAACCCACCCATGAGTTCTGGATTTCAACATTAAAACAAAAACACCCACAATTAAGTGAAAATGCAAGCAAACTTTTCAAAACTCCGTCTTGCACCTGTGCTGGAAAAGGGAGAGGGAGCACAAACATTATGACTCATGCACATCATGTTAAACCATTGTTCAAATGTTATTCTTGATGCAGATTCCCAAGGCGAAAAACACACAACTTTCTTTCACAAGTGAAGCAAACATAGCTCAAGGAAACTTAACAGTAATACTCAGGGAACCTTACAAAACTGATCTTTAGAAGTTTAATACTCATGAGAACAACTTCCTTTAGATATTAAATATAATGCCAAAGTAATAAGAAAGTACAGTTAGAATTACAACAACAATGAATCCAAGGCAACAATCCAAAATGGACATCCTTCAGTTACTCCAGCTAACAGCAGCATAAATGGCATGTCTAAAGGGTAAGCCATTTATTCAGCTTCATTTTGCTAGCTATTACAAGTTGGAGCTCAGATTACCTAAATATTTCATGTACATACCAAAACCAGAAATTAGGTCATGGATTAATTGGGATATTAATCAGCTAAAGTTTGATTAATGAGTTAGATCCAGTATTAAATCAGCAAGGGTGGGAATTAAAATAACCTTGCTTATTTTTGAGGAAATGGAAGAGAAGGGAAAAGGGTGTTCTTTCCCTCAATAAAGTCAGGCTGCTCACCTGTAACTGGCGTTCTTTGAGTGCTCATATGTGCATCCACACATACGGAATCTACCCCTGTGCGGGGCCTGTTGTCGGGAGTATTTTCCAAGCTAAACTCGTTCTGGCAGGAGCCTCTTCCCCTGGCAGACCTGGGAGTAACTCCTACCATTTTTCCCAGTCCTCTTCCAACCATGGTTGTGGCCTTTGAACCAGGGTGGGGTGAGGGGAAAGACCAGTGAACAGTTGACCCATACCATATCCATACAGGTCCAAAGGAAAACTATGGCACCAATGATGTTAACACCAATGTGGGAGCAGTAGGCAGGTCGTGCGAATGTACAGATTACCACCTGAAGAATGACAGCTACAGGTAAGCAACCCTTCTTTCCTCTTTGTGGTCTCTGTGCATCACACGTATGGGCGGCCAGTGAGCTTTTGGCACCTCCACCATCTTTTTGGCCCTCTTGGCCAGCTTCTATGCCCAGGTGTGGGTTGCATGGATGGGGTGGCCAATGGAGCCC